ACACTGGCACCCTGCCTCCAGCCCGCACCAGGCCCTGGCTCCAGACCACACCGAGATTCACTTTTAAGGCCATGAGGCTGGGACATCGCTTGAGTAAACGCATCCCCAAAGAATATGAATTGTGAAGTCACAACATTGTTTAAATAATTTTGCTTAAAAGCGTCTCTTTTTTTTAAGAGTTCATTCTAAACCATTAACCATTCTAAACCTTAGAGTTACCAACCCTGTCACCAAACAGGAGACTCTAGCTGCCACATGGTACTGTACTGTGCTTGAGTTGGTCAATGCTGTTGTTGGATGGATTGGAGCAACAATGTACTATTCCACAGCAAAACTTGGCAAGGTTTCATGCTTACTGTGTGTTCTGAACAGTTCCAAGTCCAACGTGACATCCTGCAGAATCACTGCAGAGGCCACAGATCTCTACACCAGCAATGGAAGCGATTAAGGAGTAAAGCTACTCAGCAGACAGTGGTTTCTATTCTGAGCAACATCAGTTGTAGCTCGAGAGCAGATTTCCTCTCACCTCTACTGGAGACCATGAAAAGATGCAACGTAAATGGCAGTTGATTAAGTAACTAATGCAGTTCTTGTTGCTATGTCTTACAAAGAAAGATAACTAAAAAAAATTCTGATAAGGATATAGGAATCCTTCATTTAACAGCCTTTACATGCTAACATGCATCACAGGCTGGTACCAAGTCTCTATTAGTTATTATTGAATTTGATATCTTTGGCCCTGGAAGAAATATAACCTGACATAGTGGTCAGTAAAAACTGAAAGAACTGCTGATGTAAATCAGAAACAAAACAAAAAGAAATTGCTGGAAAACATCAACAGGTCTGTGGAGAGAAATCAGAGTTAATGTTTCAGGTCAAGTGACCCTTCCTCAAATGGTGGAAAGTAAATTTACTGTGCGGAAGTTATAACTGTGTTTACACTGAACAGCGGCAGAACATTTAATTGTTCTAATGGACCATCGCCTCTCTCTCTCTTTCTCAGCTTCTCTGTGATGACCTGACCTGTGTGAAATTCTCCCCCGTACTATATCCTAAGGTAGGTATTCTGTAAGGTTATGCTATTCCTGGATGCCCAAACTGTCTTCTGAGACTTTTTCTTCAGTGGAAGCAGCAGAAAATAAGCACAGTGGAATACACTAATGTAGGCAATGGCATTGCACAGGAAGAGTCAAGACCAAGTGTAGTCGTCAAATGCAGTTTGACAGGAGGGTGGAAGAGAATTGGATCAGGATGTGCAAATGTAATTCAGTTAACGTCACGTATTCTGTATTTGCTGTTATACCTTCATTATAAATTCTTCTGTGCACTTTGTCAATGAAAGTCAACATAATTTCTTCATGATGTAATTACACCATCCAACCAATGGTGCTACTGCAGAATGCCTGCCTGAGGATGTGACATAATTACCTGTTTACTGAAGCTGTTTACAGTTGAATTCCAGATACAGAAATTTACAATGGAAAAGTCATCTAAAGAAAAGTATTATACTTTTGACGTTAATGTTGCACTTTTTGGGTATCCACTTGTATCTTCCATCCCTTTCAGCAAAGTCCACAGAAGATTGATTTATTTCCAAACAGTGCATATTTCAGATTGAAGTGTAATGTTTGTAAATGTCACAAAGTTCCAAAACATTTACCTCGTCATTGCATTCCCAGTACCAAATGTCTAACTGGTTGGTTGCACCCTCAGTGAGTCTAAAATCACTGACCAGATTTACCTGACAAACATACTTAAAAACGTTTAATAACTGCCCAAGAAAGCATCCAAACTAATTCACAGATCCTGCCAGCTAATTGATAAAATAACTTTGTTAGCTGTGGAAGCAACGTCAACTCAGAATTTGTTGTTTGGTTTTCTGTCAACTCAGATAGGCTGGAGACATCAGATACAGTGGTGAATCTCCCTCTGTTTGCCCTTATCAATGCCCTTTAATCCATACCACATCACTGTGATGGTGGCACCGTGTCCTCTCAAAGTGAGATTGGCAATTTGTGCTCAAAAACGTTGAGTTAGGGAGCGATTTGTGGTGGGCAACCGCACCAGCTAGGGATCATTATGACTACCCAGAGTCCAACCAGACAGGATCTCCTGGTCACAGAGAGAAAGAGGAGTCTTTCATCCCTTCAATCTGAATTGGATTTACACCAGTGCCAGGAGTGAAATCCCAATGAGATGTGGCAACCCACAGCTTCCCCCCACCCTCCTCCAGCAACTTTCCCCTATTCACTGAATATTTTTTCTAACCATTGCAAACCAAGTCTGTCCTTTTTTTCATTCATTTATGGGATGAGGGTGGCTCTGGCTAGGCCAGCAGTTATTGCCCATCCCTAATTACCCAGAGAGCAGTTAAGAGTCAACCACATTGCTGTGTGTCTGGAGTCACATGTAGGCCGGACCAGGTAAGGATGGCAGATTTCCTTCCCTAAAGGACATTAGTGAATCAGATGGGCTTTTCTGGCAATCAGCAATGGGTTCATGGTCATCGTTAGAATCTTAATTCCAGACTGTTTTGCTATCAAAGTAAAATTGAGCTCTTACTGGGACATGGTTATCCCAATCATGGTCAAACTCCCAACTTTTCTCAGAAGCCAGTGGAAAATGTGGGTCAGAATAATTTTGTAAAGACATTCTTATCATTTGCTATTTGTTTCATTTTCTCCAAGGCATCCAAGTTCATAGTTGCATATGATGAACACGAGATCAATAACAACTTCAAGTTTGGTGTCATTTATCAGAAGGTCAGACAGGTGAGCAATGACAGTCCTAGAAAAACATAAGATTCAATCTCTGTTTATACCAGCATTTATCAAAACAGTTTCATTTTATATTTATTAGGTACCTTCTGGTCACAACTTGGAGCTAATACCAAGCAATGTTCCATAATGTTAATGTGATTAATGTGAGCCAGTTGACAGAGTAGTTACAGGGCCTGAGGTAACAGTCATATCAGTCACAGGTGTATTTATGGTCTGCTGCACATGCAGATGAGAGGGGCTTCCAGTTAATCCATTTATAAAGACATAACTTCAATGTTAATTTCACTCAATTCATGCTCTGTTAACTATTTCACACACACAAAAAAAGTGCAGGCCCACAGTTTTATTTGTAGGTAAACATTTGTCACCTAAAATAGATTTCTGTGGAGTTGCGTGATGTAAAATTAATGCATTTCTGGTGGTTAACCTAAAGAGGTATCAGAGTAAACGTGGGCTGCACTCAGAAGGAGATTGCTTTTTGGAACACCAAGAGTAATTGATAGAAATCTTAATGTTGTAGCCATAATCTTTCTGTTGCAGTGCAAACTACTGAAGTATGCATTTGCGAGATAGAAATTCAGCATTGGTTTTGTCATTTGGTCAGCTCAGCTGGCCACTAATTGGCCAGGCTGCCTATTTCAGAGTGTGCCCAGCCTCCATATAATGGGGGTGAGCTTGGGAGTGAGTGGGATGATGGTGGATTAGCCACCCTCCCTACATTACGTGTCTCCGTGCCAAAAAGACACTTAGCAGAGAATGTAGTATTCAGCCCAAGGTTTCTGTAAATTTGACATATGGTGACTCAATAATGCTCACACAGTTTAATGAGAATTATAGCTGAGTTGGTAGCACTGTCACCTCTGAGTCCAAAGGTTTGATACAGAGAATTTGGCACAATTTCCAGGTTAATGTAGCATGTAGAAGAATGGAACAGAAGGGTATGTGCAACGGATTAGATGAAAAAATGTTGACAGATGCTCATATTGACAGCAGTAGTGTCACTATCTTTGAGCCAGGAGGCCTGGGTTCAAGTCCAACCTGCTCCAGAGGTGTGCCATAACATTTCTGAACAGATTGATTAAAAGTATCTAAACATCAGGATGGACCATGAACAAATATTGCTGGAAAAACTCAGCAGGTCTGGCTGCATCTGTTGAGAGAAAGCAGAGTTAACGGTCCAGTGACCCTTCCTAAGCCTGTTTCTCTGCTGTAACTTTGCAACAACACCCAATATGTTGAACAATAGATGCCTTGTCAGGTTGTTTTTAGGCTTTCTAGAATGTATCCAGATAAGGGTTAATTCACTACATCTCTAGCTTGTTGTAATTGACTGAAACAAGCCTGTATTCTCGCACTTCATTTGTTCTATTCTTAAGTAGTTAATGTACGTTTGCTCCTGTGTTGCAGACAACAGAAGCGGAATTATTTGGCAACAATGAAGAAAGCCCTGTTTTTAAGGAATTCTTGAATTTACTCGGAAACACAATTGTGCTCAAGGATTTTAAAGGGTGAGCAAAAACTTGCACTTGTTGATAATTCGAAAGACCTCTTTCCCTACAGTCAAAGTCATTGATTTAATTAATTTTATTTTATGCGATGAGTAAAATTCTTTGCTTGTTAGCACATATTTTAAAGATTAATTATGTAGGACTTTGTTTTAAATTGCACAGATTAAGTGCAGTTCATCCAAAATTAGCAAAGTTTGCATAAAAACATTAAGCAGTTTAAAGCATTGGACATGTCCAACATAAATCATGTTTCTGCAGTTTTTCACACCAGTGTAAGAGATAAGCTGGCCCCACTCATAAAACTGACACCTACCCAGAGCGGATTAGTTACCATGAAAACTTTCTGCTGTATGTGCTCAAATGCAGGCTAACGAGGGGGCTCTTAAAAGTAAGCTGTTTATTTTGGGCACAAGGTTACTAAAGCACATGTTTTGAAAGATTTTAATTATTTTGATTTGTTAAGAAGCTAATTGTTGTGCCCTAATTTTTAAAAATTCATTCATGGGATGTGGACATTACTGGCTAGCTCATAATTTATTACCCATCCTTAATTACCCTGAGGAAGGTGATGGTGATCCACTTTCTTTAACCACTGCAGCCCATAGGTTGTAGACACCTCCACAATGCTGTTAGGAAGGGGGCTCCAGGATTTTGACCCAGCGACAATAAAGGAACAGCGATATATTTCCCGGTCAGGATTGTGAGCTGCTTGTGGGGTATCTTGAAGATGGTTTCCACGTATCTGCTGCCCTTGTGCCTCTAAATGGTAGAAGCGTTTAGGAAGTGTTGTTGAAGGAGCTTTAGTCAATTTCTTCAGTGCACCATGTAGGTTATACTGCTGCTCCTGTGCATTGGTGCTGAAGGGAGTGAATGTTTAAGGTGGAGAATGGGATGCCAGTCTGGTGGGTTGCTTTGTCCTGGATAGTGTTGATTTTCTTGAACGGTATTAGAGCTGCACCCATCCAGCCAAGTGGACTGTATTCCATCATACGCCTGACAATGTGCCTTGTTGACGGTAAATAGGCTTTGTGGTGACCAGAGGCAATTTATATGCCACAGAACTTCCACCCCTTGCCTGCTCTTTCTTTCATTTATTTACAGGATGAGGGCATCACTGGCAAGGCCGGCATTCATTGCCCATCCCTAATTGCCCAGGGCATTTAAGAACCAATCACATTGCTGTGGGTCTGGAGTCACGTGTAGGCCAGACTGGGTAAGGAAGGCAGTTTCCTTCCCTAAAGGGCATTCGTGAAACATATGGGTTTTTCCGACAATCGGCTTCATGTCATCATTAGACTCTTCATTCCAGTTTTTTTTTTAATTGAATTTAAATTCCTCCATCTGCTGTGGCAGGATTCGAACCCAGGTCCCCAGACTGGGTCTCTAGATTAATACTAAATAAAACCAAAAGAACTGCCGATGGTGTAAATCAGGAACAAAAACAGAAATTGCTGGAAAAGCTGAGCAGGTCTGGCAGCATCTGTGAAGAAAAATCAGAGTTAATGTTTCGGGTCCGGTAACCCTTCCTCAGAACTGAGGAACTTTCCAGTTCTTCAGACCTGTGCCAGACCTGCTGAGCTTTTCCAGCAATTTCTGTTTTTGTCTCTAGATTAATAGTTCAGCAATAATACCATTAGGCCACCCCCTCCCCTTTCAGAGACAGTATTAATATGGCTACTCCAGTCTGTTTTTGATTAATGATAAGCCCCTAGGATGCTGATAGTGGTGAGATTGGATGAGGCAATACCACTGAATGTCAAGGGATGATGGTTAGATTCTCTCCTGCTGGATATGGTCATTGCCTTGCCTCATGTGGTGCAGATGTTATTTGCCACTTATCAGCTCAAGCCTGAATCTTGTCCAGGATCTTTTGTTTTTTTCTTTTCCTGAGGTGAGGTGGGTGTCACTGACTAGGCCAGCATTTATTGTCCATGCCAGTGATTTTCAGGAACATAACTAGCGCATTAATTGAGAGCTACTTAGTAAACATAACCTAGTGAATGGTTCCACCCTATTTTTAAGTGTTAGTTTTAGTTATTAGAGAACAGATGGTGAACAGGCCACTCTGATTAAAAATGTTTATTTTGGTGATATCTTCATTTCCAGGTGCATTACAAAGCAGCATCACTCTTATCAATCATAAATAATATTTTTTTAATGCAAATTGATTACATTCCAAAATGTTGCCAGATTGCATTGGTTCATGGAAGATGTTGCTTCAAGTGGAAATTTAAGCCAAAAAATGATTCCTGTTAAAATTATCGCAATTTAGGCCATACCTTGCTTCCAGGTCACCAGTTGCAGCCAAAGTAGAAATTTAGGACCAGTCTCTCAGCCAGGACTACACTCATTTTCCATCTTTAATGTTATGACCTATACATGTGCAGAAATAAATTTTAATAAAGAAAGTACAGGTTGTATCTGACTTTGAAAGCTTTCATTCAAAGAAAAAGTGTAATGTGGATATATAATAACTTTCCAAAACAGTTTCCGAGGAGGTCTAGATGTTGCCCATGGTCAAACAGGCTCGGAGTCTGTCTACACCGTCTTCAAAGATAGAGAGATCATGTTCCATGTTTCTACAAAGCTGCCATTTACAGAAGGGGACTCTCAGCAGGTAGGTCAATACAACCATATATGTATGTAGCGCGAAAAAATCACTGAACCCATTACTATCTGTGCCAACTCTTTGCAAAATGAATCCCACTCCCCTGTTTGTTATGGTGCTGCATCTTTCTCTGTAACTAAAGTTTGTCACTTATCCCTTTAAAACAGTCCTTGCTCCAAAACTGTAATCCATACTCAGCATGTTTCAAAAAAGATTTGTCCAACTTCTACCCACCTTGAAGTGATAGTGTTGATGACACCCTGAGCAGTGAATCCCTCTGTAGAGGGAAAACAAGGTGTTTTGCTTAGTCACCGTTTTCATTTAAGACATTAAAGCCATCGCTTGTTTCAAAGAAAAAATGTTTCAGCCTAAACAAGCATCAAAAAAAAATAGATTAACTGGTCACGATCACTCTGCTATTTGTGGGAGTTTGCTGTGCACATTCCACAAACACTTGTCACATCAACACAAGTCCTTTCTTTATGGGATATGCACGTTGCAGGTGAGGCCAGCAGTTATTGTCAATCCCTACTTGCCCAGTGGGAGTCAACCACATTGCAGTGGGTCTCGGGTCACACGTAAGGTAAGGACGTTAGATTTCCTTCCTAAGTATGTCAATGAACCAGGTGGGCCTTCGCAACAATCAACCGGCTTTTTATTTAATTCAAATTTTAACCATATGCTGTGGTGCAATTCATGTCTCCAGAATATTAACCTAGGGTTCTGGATTACTCGTGCTGTGATCTTACCACTACACCACTGCCTGGCCTCCTTTTTAAGTCCATGGAGGGGTTTTAGGCCATGACACTGGAGGTCTTTTAAGAAAATAACATTCATATTTGAGAAAGATGAGGTGAAATGTGCTGAAGATCAATACTTATTTGAGTCAATCAACTCTTTGGTCCTAAGACACAAATGAAAATAAATAATTATTTTTATTTACGAAGATATTTTGTGCATTTTTATACGTCTAAGAATAAAGGGTAAGCCATTCAGTGCTGAGATGAGGAAGAATTTCTTCACTCAGAGAGTTGCGAACCTGTGGAATTCTCAAACACTGGAAGTTATTGGGGCCAGTCCATTCGATATATTCAAGAGGGAGCCAGATGTGGCCCTTGCAGCTAAAGGGATCAAGGGGTATGGAGAGAAAGTGGGAGTGAGATACTGAAAATGGCATGATTGGTCATTGGATGTTTGTGTAGGCTCGAAGGGCCAAAGGGCAGAACGGCCTACTCCAGCACCTATTCACTATGAATCTATGAATCTGTTGGCCCGGTGTGTTTTCTCTGCACCATGAAACATCACAATTTAATGGGACAAACACTGTTTGCTCCATTGGTATTACTATGTCCCAGTCTTTTGCGGGTTGGGGGGAATAAAAGTAATTGGGAAGGCTCCGTACCATTTTCTTCATCTTGTTTGATTTGAGAAGGAGTCTGACCTTTCTAGAGGGAATTTATTTTGTTGTAAGGGATGCCTGTTGTTGACACCTGGCTCTAATAGGACCTTCCTTGGGTACCACCAACCCTTCTCGTACCACTGGTCTAGGGGGCTTTAGGAATGAAGTGATGAAGGATTAACCTCGAATAGATCTTTAGCAAATAGACACATTTTTGAGTAACTGGAAGTATTTTACATAATGATGACAAAACATATTGCATTCGCGCAAGATTAGTTAACTATATTAACACTAGGTAAAAAACATTGTTATCTTCTATGAAATAATAACAAGATCTATGCTACATGACTATAGACTGTGGAACTGACTAACTACTAATAACAGACTAGCTCCTCCCAGAGACAGTCAATTGTATATTGGTGGGTGAAGCTATTTCAACGCTTCCAATTTAACCCTTTCAGGCCAGCTGCCTTATGCAACAGTTTTCTGCTGAGGTTCTCTCCACATCTGTTGAAATTACATTCAGTTGAGGCTTGGAAACCCACAAGGGGCTGACAAACCAGAGTTTCAGAGATCCTGAGCTGCCCTGTCAGAGTTTCAGAGGGCTATTGAGGGAGAAAACCCTCATATCTTTGCTTCTGCTGTCACATCATGGCAGGGTTTGGAAATTCTATAGGGAGTCACAAATGTTGACACTTCCCACAGCGTACCACTTTCTGGAACAGTAATCCTGAATTCACATGGTGAGTAAATGGAAGGGCACTTGAGTTGTGAATATACACCAAGGTTCTGCTAAAACTCCAGCAAGGACCAGAAGGGTCTAGGGCCAAAATGTCATCTTTCCTGCTCCTCTGATGCTGCTTGGCCTGCTGTGTTTATCCAGCCCTACACCTTGTTATCACAAATCTCACAAACCTGATGTGCCATTCTGTGCTGTTTCTGAGATCTTCCAGAGGACTTTTGTAAGAGGCTGAATACCTATTTGCCCCTTATAAGGCAGTCCACTAACCGCCCCATCAGTCTACTCTCGATCATCAGTAAAGTGATGGAAGGTGTCAGTAACAGCGCTATCAAGCAGCACCTGCTCAGCAATAACCTGCTCAGTGACGCCCAGTTTGGGTTCTGCCAGGGCTACTCAGCTCCTGACCTCATTACAGCCTTGTTTCAAACATGGACAAAAGAGCTGAGTTCCAGAGGTGAGGTGAATGTGACAGCCCTCCATATCAAGGCTGAATTCGACTGAGTGTGGCATCAAGGAGCCCTAGCATCACTGGACAATACTGCCTTCCTGGCACAGAGGAAGATGGTTGTGACTGTTGAAGGTCAGTCATCTCAGCTCCAGGACATCACTGCAGGAGTTCCTCAGGAGAGTGCCATAAGCCCAACTATCTTCAGTTGCTTCATCAATGACTTTCCCTCCGTCATAAGGTCAGAAGTTGGGGATGTTCACCAATAATTGCACAATGTTCTGCACCATTTGCAACTCCTCAGATGCTGAAGCAGTCCATGTTCATATGCAACAAGATCAGGACAATATTCAGGCTTGGGCAAACAAGTGGCAAGTAACATTTGCCCCACACAAATGCCAGGCAATGGCCATCTCCAATAAGAGGCAATCTAATCACTGCCCCTTGAATTTCAATGGTGTTACCATCACCGAATCCCCCACAATTAACATGCTGCTAGTTACCATTGACCAGAAACTCAACTGGACCTGCCACATAAACTCAGTGATTACAAGAGCAGGTCAGAGGCTAGAAATACTGCGGCAAGTAACTCACTTCCTGACTTCCCAAAGCCTGCCTGCCATTTACACGGCAGAAGTCAGGAGTGTGATAGAATACTCCCCACTTGCCTGGATGGGTGCAGCTCCAACAACACTCAAGAAGCTTGACACCATCCAGGACAAAGCAGCCCACTTGACTGGCACTACATCCACAAGCATCCACTCCCTCCACCATTGAGGCTTAGTAGCAGCAGTGTGTACGGTCTTCAAGATCTGCTGCAGAAATTCACTAAAAGATCCATAGGCAGCACCTTACAAACACATGACCACTTCCATCTAGAATGACAAAGGCATGGGAATCTGCGAGTTCCTCTCCGAATTGTTCATCATCCTGACTTGGAAATATATCGCTGTTCCTTTGCTCTTGCTGGGTCAAAATCCTGGATTTCTCTCCCCAGGGGCATTGTGGGTGAACCTACAGCACGTGGACTGCAGTGGTTCAAGAAGGCAGCTCACCAGCACCTTCTCAAGGGCAACTAGGGACGGGCAACAAATGCTGGGCAGCTGGCGATGCCTACGTTTGACAAGTGAATGAAAAAAGAGGCTAAGTAAATCGGGCCTTTGTTCTGTGGGGTTCAGAAGTAGGAGACATGACCTCATGGAATGATACAAGATTCTGAAGGGGCTTCATGAGGTAGATGCTGAGAGATTGATTCTGCAGATCAGAGCATCTAAAACACAGGGACGCAGTCACCTGAAGTGAGGAGAAATCACTTCACCCAAAAAGGTTGAGAATCCATGGAATTCTCCATCACAAGCAACTGTGGATGTGTCATCACTGAACACATTTTAAGGTTGGGATAGATATGGTTTTTGGTTTCTCAGGCAATCAAGAGAAATGGGGAGCAGTTGGGACAGTGGAGTTTAAGCCCAAGACTAGCCATGTTGTATGGGGAAGCAAACTTGAGGGGCTGAATGGTCTACTCCTGCTCCTATTTCACATATTCAAATGACACTCTTGTGGTCCCAGGGGTCAGAGAATCCATACAATTGAAATGACCACTTCCCAAGCTCAACTGGGACCTGACCTAGGACTGGAGCCAGCGCACCGATTACCCTGAAGCATAAAGAATGGGGACATATTCTGGTTCCTGAAAATCTGGACAAGGGGAGGGGAGTGGGGTGGGTGTCTTCATGCGGTCTGGGAGGAACCTGGACAAACATTCACCCGCTGAGCCCCAAATGTGATCAGGCATTAGGTGATTGCCCCCTAGACAGTGCACACAGGGAAGGGAGAATGGCAGTAGGGGTACATTTTGCATATCAGCCCCAGGCTAATTCGATACCCTTCCAATGACCCTTCAAACTCTGGCAAAGGCAATAGCCAATGGATAATGACTTTCATGTTACTGTGATAGACTTTCAGGATTCGCACCTTCACTTTTCTCCCCCCAGATTCACTCTCACTTTTCTCCATTTCCGGGGATGACAGGTTATTTTACAGTTAAGAATGACCTTGATAGTGCATTACTTTGTACAAGCTTTTAGGAACTGCTTCTTTCTTGATTGATATAACGTCAGCTGCCTGCTCCTCATCGTATCACTCAATCACTTTCTCCTCCAGAGTTACAATGTGAGTATCTCTTCTACTGTCAACCTTTCCTGGGAACATCACCAAAAACATCAATACGCTTCTCTTCAAAAGAGAAGCTCTATCTGGCTTCCATTCTGCTCCTATCTTTTTTAATTTCGTGCTTCCAGATATTTAAAAGCTGGCGCAGTGATTCTTTTACCCTTTCTGGGTTTTATCAGCAGCCTGACTAAACCGATATCGCAGAAAAAAAGAATTCTCTTTTTGAAAGAAAATGACTGCAGCTTCTTTCA